ACAGGCAGCTGCCCGCGGGAGGGACGGGGGCTGGAGCGGTGCCGCTGGCAGCGGGGGGTGCCCGCGCCCCCGTCCCTCCGGAGCGCTTTGCTTCAGGGCGTCCTCTCGCTTCTGGGGGTCGGGCCGCCGGGGTCCGCAGGCGCGGCCGAAACCGGCCGGCAGCCGGGGCCCAGCCCGAGGCGGGGAGGGCGTGTCCGTACACAGGTGGTCCGGTTCCCCCGCTCCGAGGGGAGGACGGGGCGCGTTCCCGCCTCCTGCCGTGAGCCGGTTCCCACAGACTTGACTTCTAAAATACCGATAACTTCCCCGGGCCCCCTTGAGGAGCTGCCTCCGGGTGCGTCTCTGCTTTCAGCGTCTCCCCACACGGGCCTTGCACACCTGTCCGGGTCTGGATTAAGTTCACGCAGGCTTTGAGTCGGGGGCAGCTTGCCGAAAGCCCCTCACGTCACCAAGGACCGAAGCCTGAACTTTATTTCCCCTCTGTCCTGAAGGTCCACAGCTTGGACGTTATTTTACGTAACGATGCCCACGGTATTACTGGTATGCCCTAATCTTGTCCCTGTGAGTTGGCAGGGGTTTCACGCAACCGCGCAGCATGGCGAGGCCAGCCCACAGCGTTTCTCAGGGCATCGGCTAATGTAACTGATCGGATATCAAAGATAATTTAATGACCAGTATTCACTGTGTCACACTCCAGTATAAAACACATGCTGTTTTTCAGGCTTCTCTATGCAACAGGCTGAACAGTTTCAATCGTTCAGCTATGCCAGCTGAAATGTTAACTTCTCCTTTAAAGTAAGCGTAATCTTTATGTTGTTGCCACTTGAGGGTAACTTGTTGAAATCATGCAACACGTAACCTGCAAAACAGAATCAGATTCTGATATTATCTTTCAAGCACTTTAAAATGTTTTAAAGATGGTGACAAAAGGTTGGTTAGCCTTTGGCCTAAGGTCACTTAACCAAGTGGCTTCTAAGCATCCTGGGGAGGGTTAATAATTATTATTACACGTATGTTTTCATAGTAAGAATTACAGAGGGGCAGATACAGGTGTTTTAGAAACTTGGTCAATTTTTATTGTTGGCAACTTAAATGAGAAGTCAGAATTTCTATAGGAAATACATTGGGTGATCCTTTTAGCAGGAAAGGTTTCTTGTAGAAGTATCAGTGCTCAGTGATAGTACTTTTTAGAGGCGTGAATAATAACTCAGAGACCTCATACAGTGCTTTGTAGCCAGAGCTTAACTGAGCAAAGAAAGAATTGTTCTGTGTTTGATGGGAGTATTAACTCGTAAGAGAAACCTGCAGCACAGGCATCAAGCCATTGAACATCCTTGCCATGTTTTTTTTAAATAATGAGAGTGGCAAAAGAGCTTTTTGCAGGACAAAGGTTTGAAGTCTCTTCAGCGTTAGCAGCAATTAATTGG